GGCTACATTTCAGCCTGTTATTGAACCCCAGTGGCATGGAAGTGAACACAAAAAATGGAACAAACACCATGAAACCCACTTAATTTCAAATAATTTCTTGGCTATTTCCACCACCATCACAGTTCTAGCGCTAGTACATAATCTTCAAGTAGCAGCACATTTTGGCAATTTCTCTTGGTCATGAGCAGCCAGAATCAAGCTTTTTTTTCCCCTGAATCTTTTTAAGAAGTTTCCCTGTTGTGCTGAATTCTAGGAGTAAGAAGGTAGAAAGTCAAGATGCTAAAAAAGACTATGAATCTTGCTTGTGCTGTAGTTGAGAAATGAAAGTTTCTTCCCTTTTGTAAATGATTTCCAATAGTTTCAACATTCTCTTCCTTTTTTTTTCTTTTTGTCGTAGCAAAAAAATGAGGAAAAAAGGGAGAGAAATAATGGAAAGGCCAAATGTTTCATTTTTCCGGTTAATCCCTTAAGAGCTTTAAAGAGTAAAGAAGTGGCTCATGCTGATTTCTGGAAAAAGGCAGAGAAACTCTTAATTTCTGCCTGTCTGTCATTTCCCCCCCCCCCCTTGAAATAATTCATCCTGCCTTAAATTTAAATGTTTGATTTGGAAACTGGGGCAGAAGGTGAGTGTTTGTGGGTGTGTTGGCAGGGGCATCCTGAGCAGAGAAAAGCTTTTGGAAGGGCAGGATGCAGCCCCAGCACTGCAGGGTGAGCTATACTGGGACTCTCCTTGGGCAAAACCATGGTGGGTGCTGCTGGGGTGGACGAGGAGGTGAAGATGCCAGCCCAGAAAATCTTTAAATACTTCCAACACAGGAGCTCAGCTCCCACTCTTGTTAATTTGGGAGCTTCTCCCAGCTGCTCTCCCTGGCTCTGAGGAATGTCCTGCTCCTAAGGTCAGCAGCCTGGGCATCCAGCACCCCTCAGGACAGCTCTTGCTCTCTGGGCCTGGATGTGGTGCTGGGCACCAAAGGACCAAAGAGACTGGAGGAAAATTCCCAGCTGCAGTGAGTGATGCATGCCCTCCTTTCCCATCAGAACCCCTCTGGAAGATGTTCAGCACTAATGCCTTGTTTCTCTCATTTACATGAAGGTTTCTGCATCCACATGCATCCCTACTCTGGACCACATGGGTCTCTGCTGCAGGAGCGTGTCCTCGGAGTAGACCAAGGCTTTGCTGAGCCAGTGGACTCCTGGTTATGTGCAGCATGAGGGTGCTCCCGAGCCAGGTTCAATGCTGGGTGAGTCATTTCCTTCTTGCTTTCTCTCAGCCTTTTCCCACCAGTGCCACCAGCTCACTGCACATGACTCCTCTGGGGCTGCTGCTCCATGGCCCTTCACTCAGGTGCCCCCAGCTGTGCTCCCAGGGGGCTGGACAACTCCCCACGAGCAGCAAGGCATCCTTTGCTGGCACCTCTGGAAGCAAATCCAACAGCAGGGGACCGCTGTTGTGCCTGCTTTCCCCAGCTGATGATGTCAGGGAGGAGAAGGCATGTCGGGAGAGAATGACTTCACGGAGCCGCTCCGGGAATTGGTTCCCCCTCCTTGCAGAGAGGGCTGCTGGAAGGGAGCCCAGTGATGTCTTCATCCTCATGCCCCAATACAGGCAGTGTTTGCAAATGCTGAGGCGATGCTGTTCAGAGAGGGGCCAGCCAGCCTGGAGGATAATGTGGCTTTTGGTGGCTTTCTGCTCAAAGCCCCGAGAGCCTCAAAGTGTGTTGTGGCTCGTGGGTCCCAGCGGTGGGTTTGTGTGGCTTTTGGAGGAGGTGGAAGGAGGAAGGTGGCTATTTGGCTGCTTTTCTCAAAGTAAATGAGCTCTGCCTGAACGGTGAACCCATTATGGCTGTCACCGGACCCCACAGCCCTGTGACGTGAGGATTTCCCCATTTACAGGTGTAGTGATGTTTTCCAGCTTCACTGAAGCACAAGGGGGGGATCTCCTAATGCAGCACAACTTTCATGGGCTGAATCAGTCACTGGTGGAAGAACCCAGGCCCCAGCACACTGTGAGTTATCCCTGCAACCCACCACCACCACAGAAGAGCAGTGCAGAAACACTCCACTCCTGGTGCAAAGGCTGCACGTGGCCAGAGCCCATCCACTGTTTATTGTGCAGGGAGGACCCTGGTCCTGTCCCCCCTCTCATGCAGGAATGAGAAGCAGGTTCATTGAAAACATCTCCACTGGAGTACCAAAAAAATGCTTTAAAATTCTCTGTTTTGCATTGGGAAGGGGGAGAAATGCAGAATGGATGGTTCTTGCAGGCTGTCTCACATGAAACACCAAAGAATGGGAGCAATTAATGAATTAATTTCACTAGCCTCATTGGAAGGGTGCTGGCCATGGCCCTGGGAAGCGGTTGATGGGGCTGTAGAAGGAGGCTGCCTCCCTTGCTTTGATCCAGTGTGAGCACCCATCCAGAAATGTGGGGTCTCGCTGGCATCCTGCAGAGCCAGAGCCCAAGATGAGAGATGGCTGCTCTTCGAAAGTCAGGATCAATAATCTCTGAAAATAATATTAATGAAGAAAACCCCAAACCAAAAAGCAGGACCTCCTCCTCTCTGCTCCCCCAGTGGGAAGATGTGGCAAAGCCTTTCCTGTGTTCTTGCTCTAAGAAGAGCCAGGAAGATTTCCAGCAGGCTATCTCCTAGGAAATGGACCCATTTCAATCCTGTGGTTAATTATATTAAATAATTGTGGGACTTAGCTCTTTTATCCTGTGCCTTTTCACACCCTGGGTGACCAAGTGAGGGCAAGTGCAAGTTGAAGCAATGAGGGGAGGTGGAGCCCATGCGCAGCCTCACCACTGCTGTGGGATGTGGCTGTGCCTCGGGTCTGTGCTGGCCTCTCCACCCGAGGGCAGTGAGCTCAGAGGTGTCCAGGGAGCATCTGGAGCAGGAGGTGATGGAGTGGCAGCATCCAGAGTGCTCTGGAAGCTCCGGGAAGCTCTGGGAAGCTCCGGGAGCTGTTCCGTCTTGCCATGTGATGAAACACTGCCACACCTGTGCAAATTTCCCCGTAGCCCGAGGCTTGGGTGGAAGCATGTGGGGATCATTAAATCAAGCTACTTAAGAGCTACTTGAAGATGGAAGATGTGAAATGGGGCGTATGGAATGGGTCATGTCTAGACGATCCCCCGAGCACCTGACTGCCTCCACCAGAGCTGCTGCTTGCAGCGACTCTGGCTCTTGGCTGGTGCCCCTGAGGGACAGGCAGAGCTGGCTCGTGCAGAAAGCCCAGCTGAGCTCCTGCTCCATCTTGCAGAGCAGTTGGGGCTTGCCTGGAAAGGCCAGGATGTCAACTCACATCGAGGAGCCAGCCAGCGAGCTCGGGCTGGTGGCGCCTGTGAGGACAGGACCTAAGGGAGATCTAGGAAGGGGTGTGTGGATCTGGGATGCAGACTCCAGGTGTGCTGGGCTTGTGGCAGAGCTGGTCCTGCTCTGTGGGAACATTCATGCTGTTTTTAGAAAGGCTCTGCTTAACTCCTCTGTGCTTGTCCTTTCTCCTGGCCTCCCCCTTCACCTGGACTGAGATCCCAAGCAATTGTGAAGGAAGCTGGGTGGGAGAAAAAGGCTTTTAGTTTGAGAGGAGCCACAGGGTGAGTTACCACTTGTCTCAGCCTTGTGCATTTGGGAGCTTCCTTAATGCATTCCTGCATGCATCCCAGAAGATTGCTCCAAGCAGCTCCCTTCCTATGTGCGTCCCCAGGGGATTCTGTGTTGCTCCCTCACCTTCCCTTTCCAGGGTGTTGAGATAACTTGTGAGAGCCAAGACGGTGACTGGGGTCTGGTAATGCAACGTTTTTTCCTTTGGTAGTCAAGAGTGCAGGGTAGCAAGCTGGCTATACCCCCCTCCCCAGAGCAGCCTCAGGCACCTCCCATTAGATCACTTCAAATCCAGCCCTGCTTGGCCTCTGTGTCCAATTTTAACAGCATGACCGAATAGTTGCCGATGGGGAAGCCTTGTTTGATTGTGGAGGTAATAAGATGATTCGAACACAAGAGCTGATAGTTTCAAGTAACTGCAACTTAACCTCGCTGCATAAAGCGTTATTGTCCTGCCACAGAAATCCTCTGTCCGGGAGAGCACAGCTGCAGGGAAAATAAATGCTCTTCTTTTTTTCTTTTTCTTTCTCTTTTTGCTGTTTGTTTGTTTAAAGCCCAGGGACCTCGGGTCGGTTTGCTCTCGTTGGCCGCAGTGGAGCAGTGGTGGGATGTGGTTGTTGAGCTCTGACTGTGGGGCAAATTCCCTTTAATCCAAGGAATTAAACCCCAAGCAAAGCCACTGATGGTCATGGGTTTAGTTGAGATCCAGGACAAATCCTGGCTCCATTGAAGTTAAATGGGACTTTTAGCTGCTGGTTGTAGAGGGATCAGGGCTGGTCCCTACTGCCGGTTGTTGAGCACGTTTGCCCTGCCGACCTCAGTGGAATGGGCTGCCCTCCCGGGGGGGGCACACACCTGGGATCTGGCTGCCTGGGTACTGCAATAATCTTGGAGCACTTAGGATGGCAGTGGGTGCCCCATTTGTGCTTTGCCTCCCCCTGTACAGGTCCTGACTCCAGACCAAGGCCACTTTGCTGCATTTGAACTGTCTGTGAAACCTCACTGAGCAGCAGCTGCTAGTTCGTCATTTACCTTCTTAAAACCATCTCCAGATACAGAAACAGCTTGTCACTGCCTGTAACCAGCAGGAATACCAGATCCTGCCAGCATCTGTTTTGGACATTGAGGCAAGTGGGTCTGGGACAGCTTTATCTGGGGCAGAAAACCACTACTGGTGTCATACCAGGACCGCTGGTTGCCTGCTGCCGCCGCACTGTCAGGCCAGGAAAAGTACTCCCAGACAGGCCGACCCTTCTGTGTTATAAATGGGGTAATAGAGATATTTGAATATATTTTTATGAGTGGCTGTTTTGGACAGAAGCTGCTGGTCCCTGGGTGCTGGGAGCTGCAGGAGCAACCATGTCCATCAGTGCTGCATGTCCAGCTCAGGGCTGGAGACACCTGCCCTGGGGCCGTGTTGCTCTTCTGATGGTTCAGACTCAGTGTGCAAAGGTAAGGGGGGCTATTTTGTTTGCTTAGTTTTATTTTTTAAAAACTTCCTATTTTTTTGAATTCCTCACCCACGCAGATCCGTGGGGTGATCAGGGAAGGTCTTAGTCCAGCTGGTTTTGGGAGCACTTAGAAATCCCCGTGGGGATTTTTTATCTGGCAGAGCTGGGATCTTCTCTTCCCAGTCACGGCTAACATAAAAACATTTCTATTGATTAGTTGCACTTATTTGTTTGTCCAAACACATAGCAGCCCAAGCCTGTATTTGTGTGTGTACTCAAATGTCTTCCAAAAGCCACTCCTACCACCCCTGCAAAATAGTTGGAGGGTGACACAAGAGTGATAAACATCTGGCCATGGGAATGCTCTGGAGTGAATGAACGAGAGTTGTGAATGGGGACGGCTCCCTGTGAGTGGCTCTGTGGTGGCAATGACTTCACTCCCTGTGAGACTCAAACACCCAGGCAGTGCCTCTGTGTCCCAGAGGAGAGGCAGTGACCCTGAGCACCCAGCTCAGGAAAGTCCCTTGCTCAGGGAAGACACTTCAGTAGATGCTTCATCCAAGCTTTTCTTCTGGCACGGGTTGAGGTCTCGATTTGTCCTTAATGGTTCTCACTGAAATCCGTGCTTAACTTCGTCTGGTGAGGGGAATCAGTGATTTGTAATCCGTGTGAGGAATCAGCTGTCCTGTTCATCAGAGCTTCCAACCTGATGATGGGATATTTGTTGGAGATGTTTTATGAAATTCCACTGCTTGGGAGTGAAATAATGTCACTTTGTAGTTAATACACCAGGAAAACCTCAGAGACTGAGTCAGTACCAACTGCTGGTTCACATGCTAGTAAAAGCCTGCTGGTGTAAGTACGTTTCTAGACAAGCATGATTTTTGTTCTTCACTCCTGGGAGCTAGCAAAGCTTTATTATTTTTTATTATTTTTCAAACATTGCCTCTACAAGCTTCTCAAACTTCTCTAAGGAAATATCTTTGCCATTACTACTAAGTAGGTGCTTTTTAAAGAGATTAGAAAAATGAAGGCTGAAATGAAATCCAAAAGAAATCATATCAACCTTTTTGCAGAGATTTCTGTTTGAAAGACTATGAGGGATCTGCATCAACTCTACTGACTTGAGTCCAGCCACAAATTATTTGTGACGTGGGTGAGAAACACGTGCAGCTTTGGTGGGAGCTGAATTTCCATCAGCAGAGACATCCCGGCAGGTGGGAAGATTGCCTTTTTCAGCCCAAAACTGGGGTCTGGGGCAGGGATCGTCCCTGCTTAGGATTCCTGCTGCCTTTGCCACTCCACACTGGTGATGCTCAAAGCTTCCCCTTCTCTAAAAATGATATTGCTTGGGCACTTTGGCTTTGCTGACACATCCCCAGCTCTTTCTGACTGGGAGGTATTAGGTGACAGGGTGGGTGAGGTCCTGTGGTTGAAGCAGGAGGGGATGCCAAGTCCTGAAACCAGGGCTCCCTCTCCTCCTCCCTGGGTGATTCCAGGGCAGAGGCTGCCACTCCTCCCTGAGCACATGACACCCAAACCCACGAGCTGCCTTGCATCCCCTAAGTTGTTTTCTCTGGTTTATGGGTGGCTTCCTCAGTCTCTTTTGGAATGCCTTGGGTTTTGCTTAAAAACACTGCAACAGTGGCAAATGGTTTTGACAGAAGATCCATCCCCTTTTGCTTGCATGTCCTCAGCACAGAGGCAGCAACTATTGGAAGAAAACCCCAAATATTTTCCAGGTGATGTGTTTCTCATCTGCCACTGTTGTGGGCACTGGGGAAATGCAGGAATGCTCTCCCAGCTGCTAGCAGTACCCTGAATCTGCCATTTGCTCTTCTTTACTAGGGCAGCAGAAACTGAGTCTCCAAGCTCAACAGAAGTCTCATGGTTCAGCATTTTAGGCCCACACAACAAAGAGCTCAGGTTGGCTCTGTGCCCTGAGAGGTGCTGATGGCGAGGGTTTCATGGACCACTGAGTCCTGCACTTTACACCTCTCCTAGCCCTCAGCTGCAGCACATTTGCAGCTCCCTCAGGGATTGCTGGTGTCCCAGAACCCCCCCACTCCTCGATCTGAATCTCTAGCTTTCCGTGCTTCCTTTCTTCTCTCTCATAATTAGGGGCAGGTCTTGGACAACAGGCACATGTGGGAGTGGCTCAGGTGGCTAAGGAGGACCTCAGTGATGAGCTCGGACAAAAAGGACCAGGGTGGCTGTGCTCTGGGATGGCTGGGATCTCCACAAAGGCCTCCCTGAGCCCCTGCCTTCTCAACTCGGGGTCCTTCAGCGTGTACCACGCTCAGTTCCCAAGAAGCTCCAAGTCATGTGTCACTTCTGCAAAGCCTTGGCCTGCCTCTCTCAAGCCTGAGGTGCCTCGTGAAGCTTCTGTTATCTTCTGCAGTGGCCCAGGACAAGGACCCTGGCTTTGCTTGCACCTCACTGGGTAGAGGTAGTTCTGACTGCCAGTGTAACATCACTCCTGTCCTCCACCACAGATGCACAAGCAGGGAAACTAGATCACATTGTGGGGGTGTATCTGCCTTGTCCCTTGAGAAATCCTTTTTTCTTCACTTGTTTGGTGACCTGTGCCTTATCCCAGCTGGTTTATGATGCATGGCTGGAAAAGAGAGGCTGAATCAGAGAGTTTTGGCAGAGGCCAGGCTGAAGGTGGGGTTTGAGCATGGTACCGGCTGCAGGAGCTGCGAGGGTTCAACCAGCCCCCCAGGAGCCTCCCCAGCTGCTCCCAAGCTACCTGCACCTCTCCTAGAGGCAACTCCTTGCTGGCTTTGGGATTTCTCTGCATGTGCCTTAATCCTAGGAGGGCTTTTTTTCTCATAGTGGGGGTTGCACGGAAATAACCTTATGTGGGAATGTGCTCTTTGCACCAAAGGGGTTAAAGTCTGCTCCCTCCTTCTGGGCTGACCATGGAAAATACTGCTCATGCCAGGGACTATGCAGGACAGAAACTAGGGCTCCTAGGATACAATTATACAAATAATACAACTTGTTCCACGAGCAGCGGAAACCAGCAAAGCCTGGTTTCCGATGGGTTTATGTTGTGGAGTAAAGGGTGCTCATGGGCTTTCACTGGCCAGTAAAAGCTAAACATGTGCCCATCACCATCTCATTAGCCACCAAACTTCACAAAAATTTACATAACCAGCTTCCTTTGACCACATAAAGAAACCAGCAGCTTAATTCTCTAATTTTTCTGCTGGGATCAAGTCACACTTGATTTCTGGGGTAGAATACACGTGTGATGGAGATGTTCAGCAGATGCATGCTGGAGCCTCACAGGAACCAGACCTTCATCTGTTTGTCACAAGCCCCTTCTTGGCACAGCAGCAGCCCATGTCACCCTGCAAGAGCGGTAGGGATGTGGCAGGGGTTTCTATCTAAACCCAACCAAGATGTGCTTGCTGGTTTGTTGATCAGGATGTGATGAAGGCTCCTTAGTGACGCACTAGCAGGGAGGAGTGGGAGCTGCTGTGTCATCTTCATGAGAGTGGCAGTGGGGCCACTGATGTCCCCTCACTCTGAGGTGGGGAGAAGCACGGACAGAAACTGGTGTCCTGTGAGTGAGTGGGGGCTTGGGAGAGCTCCATTCTTGTCCATATCCAGCAGCGTGGTCCATCTTTACCCTGCCCCATCTCCTGAGCCGACCGTGGGAGTCGTGGCTCTGCCGTGCTCCTTGACAGTTTGGTTTTGAGGGATGAGCATAAACACTGTCCCCAGCTGGGTGGGATGGCAGGAGGCTGCTTTGCCTTGCTGGGAGCAGGGACTGGAGCTGTGTGGTTTGCAGGAAGATGACACAGGCTGGGATGACTTGTCACTGCTAATGCACAAGACGCTACTGGGGTGCTCATTAATGGGAAGGGAGGAGAGGGTCTAGAGGTAAACAGAGCAGGGCTGGCAGATGACTGTGCCATCTCTGCGCAACCTCGTCTAAGCCTATTTATATAAATCATGTGAAACCCAAATTAGAATTTTATCCATCTGCTGTGCTGTAAGTTGCTCTTCCACCAGCACAGCAAGCCAAGAAAATGCTCTTAACTCCGTAAGATCTGCCTCGAGTGTGAGAAAGGTTTGTATACAAGGCCCAGTGCTGGTGTGGGGGCTGTGAGGATTCACACTGCAACCTCCTGCAAGGCTGCAGGACAGGCTGTCACCACGTCCTCCAGGAGACAGCAGTGGTTTGACATCAAGGGCAAGCCAGGAAGAGATGTGGACGTTCAGTGAGAAGCCTCCAAGGCTTCACTGTGTGCAGGAGGACAAGGGCTCACCCCTGCCTCGTGTGTGACATAACCATGGCTGAAAGTGTTGAGCAAGACCATCTCTGCCTGACTTCTGGTCCCAAACACTGTGGTGAGCTTGTCGTGGTTTGGCACAATGAGGAAGGTAGGGAAAAGCCCTTCTGTACTTTCCCATGTTTCCTACTTGTAACAGAGCTGGACTTTTCAGCCATTCCCTCAAGGAGGCTGTTACCCATTTGCTTTGCAGATGCTCAGCACCCTGCGTGGGGCGGCTCCTCCCAGGAGTTACACTGGGGCAAACCAAATGTGACCACAGGTCTGTGCCTGCCTTCCCGTGTGGCTGAACTCGCCTCTTCTCTGGGAGCACACACTCGCAGGAGGATCCCGCGGGCCGATGACTCGGCCGGCCGGACGCTGCCCTGGCAGCGAGCACAGGGCTGGCCCCGCCACCACAGCACAGCAATTTCTAGGAAACACATCTGCCTCCCCACACGGGAGGTCCCTGGTGAAGATGATGACTCACCAAGGGATCTCTTGACCTCTCTACCCGGCACTGTCGCGATCCAGCTTTCTTGGCGTTTAGTGCTTTTCCCGTCATTAAAAATAAAACCTGCTTTTTTTTTATTATTTTCCCCTCATCGAATTGAAGATTCCAGTGAACAGTTTGGGGGTAAACAAGTGAAGATGACACTGTGGAGGAACAGTTGGTCAAGTTTGCGAGAGATGGAGCCAGATCTAAATATGGCACAGCCTCACTGGTACAGAGCAGAAGGGAGGTGGCATATGTGTCTGAGCAGTTGGATTGCTGCATGCTCTGTTAGATTTCCTTAACATCAAGTGTGTTCTCTTCCTTTTTTCTTTCCTTTTTAGCATAAAAAAAGGAGTAGAAGCTCACCAAAAACGTCCTAGGGTGGAAATAGGGAAGGGCTTCAAGGAGGTGATGGACCCTTCGGCTCAGCTGACAGGTGGAAGCAGAGGTGTCTGGATGAGATGCTCCTCTGCGAGGACCAAACCAGGAGGCCATGGCCACCCCCAGCCAATCTCCTTGCTGCTGATGCACACACCAAAATTTGGCCTGGCAAAGGCCTTTTCCCAGGTGACCTCCATGCTGTTTGGTACCAATGGAGTGATTGCTCTGGGTCATGTATCCCTCAGAGTCCAAAAGGGAAGAGATCCCTGGTGCTCATCTGGGGATGCTGCACATTGTCACCCTTCCAGCTGGACCTCTGCACACCAGGAACAGGATGGACCAGGTGCTCTGGGCTGTGTCCTCAAAATGAGTGTCTCCTCCAAAGTCCCAGGCCACTTTGTTGACACAGAAAAGCTTATTCCCTCTAGCATTTGGTTCCTCCTGGGAAGTGCATCCTTACACCCCACTGATTGCATCAACTTTTTGGGCCTCTATGTCTACAGACAAAAACCAACAGAGGAATCAATGTCCTTGGATTGTCTTCACTGCTGGAAAGAACTGCACAGGGATTTCACTCTCCCTCTGCAGCTGACTGTGAAGGCAACCAGAGGCCAGGCTACACTGAGGAAACAGTGTGCTACTGGATGTACACTGCCAGTTCTCACGTGGCTCCTGCCCATCCTGGTGGGTAACCACAACCCCTGTGCCGGGGGGATGGAAGCTTTCTTGCCTGTGGAATGCTCTTGCTGGGTTTTCACACACCCCGGGAAAGGCAGGGAGCTGGGGAGGGGAAGCCAAAGGTGAGACGGTTGCAAGCAGCTTTGATCAGGGCTTTTTTCCTAAACCACCCAGTTACAGGTTAGTCATGGAGCCTTCACCACCCCTGCCAAAGATCCATTGATTTTTCCTGTGAAGCCACGTGTCTGTGTCATGTCACTACATTTGGCCACTTAAACCAAATCTTTCTCCAAGTGTTCCAGCGGGAAGGGCTGGTGTGGCTGAGCAGGGAAGAGTTTTGTACGGATACAGTGGACAGGTGACTTATCCAACCATTGCCAGGAAGGGCAGGGCTGTGCACACAAAGAACATGAAGGAACAGGCGCTGTGTCCTGGACCTGGAAAAGGTGGGAGCTGAGGTGAAACACCATGGGGTGGGGACCTGCTCAGTGGGTGTTGATGTTGAACATCTCTCTCTGCAAATGCAGGGAGCAACCAGCACTACCATGGGCAAAATCTAGCCTGGACCTTTTTGTCACTGTTTAAGCTTTGGCTGGCCCAGGAGCTGGGGAGGGTCTCCCCAGCCAGCTGCAGGCACTGCAGCATCCTTCCTGCTCTCCCTGGCAGTGTGGATGTGCAGGCAGAGCAGTGTGCTACACAGAACATAGCCTCCACTAAAAAGTCAGTATTTGCCAGCAAATAACATATGGTTTTGTTTTGGTTTAATTGCCTCAGAGTCAGTCTCCTAATCTGCATTTTAGATCAGAGACCCCAAAATCCTCAGCATAGGAGAAAGTGCTACAGAGAAAGACTGAAACAAAGACAGGTCCTGGAGCACTGGTTGTGCTGCCTGGCGTGTTGCAGCAGTGTTGCCTTGGAGCTACTTCTTCTACCCTCTGAAGACTTGTGTGAAAATGACCAAGAAACAAAGGGCCCAGCCTGCTTCTGGAAGGGTAAAAAGCTGTTGATGGAGCATTGCTTGATTGAAGAGGCTGAGGATGGTGCCCGACTTCCTGCATCCACATCCTGGGAAAGCAGCTGGAAATTGATCCTGCTTCGGTCATCCACTGATGAGCTAATTTTTAACACCAAGCATGTGAGTATAAAAGGGATTAAATGTAAGTTTAAGAGCTTTAATCACATAAAAAGGAGGTGGTCAAAGTGTTTTTGTAAGCAGTTGTTTCAAATGCCCTTTGTGAGTGCTGAGGTTCATCTTGTTTTGAGGGGTAGAAACAGAGGAGTATAGGAACAGACTCTTCTGTGATGCAAAACTGCTGCTTGTTTCACAGTTTTGCGTAGTTCATTTTGATGAACAGACTCTTAATTCAGTTTAACTCAGGCTCATTTCTCCCCCTGCTCTCCCTATGCAATGTAATCCCATTTTGTGTCTAGGTTACTGGCAACCAGTATATCAAGCTCTAGCCAAGCATGTATTAAAATAAAGCTGCAATCTGCTGAAAAACAGGTTTTAAGATGGAAACAAATAATTAGAAACACACAAATTAGTGTCTGTCTGACAACAGGTTGAGCTCTGCACAGATTTAAACAAAGCTGTAATGGCAGGATGTGAGCGATTCAAACCGGAGGCAGTGGCTGAGCGTTGACTTTAATGGGTCAAGTGGAAAAGATGTGGGGAAGGAGCAAACCCGGGTGGGTTTGGCTGGGGCTGAGCACCCAGAACTGAGAGATAAAATAGCAACACACGGGGGCTTTGAGTAACTCACGGCCTTTCAAGGACCAAGGCCTCAAATGAAGCAGGAGCCTTGGCTGATTGTTAGAGTTGCAGCTGCTGCCTCTGGCACTGGTCCTTCCCCTCTGCTGACTGCCTGCACTGGTGCATGTTTACTGGGCAGTGGTGAAGGTGTGGAAGCACTTTCTGTGGTTTTGTACCTTTGCTGTGGGTGGTTTTTCTGCCCGCAGGCTCCCAAGGTCTGGCAGCGCCCCAGGGCCAGGCTGGGGGAGCCCTGCCCGTGCCCCCTCATCTGGGTGAGGGACAGCAGGGCCCCTGCGGAGCTTTCCAGCAGCTGTTGGGAGCAATTCAGTTAAATACTCTTTTCCTCTCATTCTCAGGGGCATCTCACCGCTGGAATAGCAGTGCTCCAGTTCCTCGGGGAGCCTGCGAGCAGCAAGTCAGCCAGCAGCATGGATCGTTCTTCTGCACCCATTGTTATGGAAATTGCCTTAGAGACAGTTGCTCCAGCAAACATTTTTAGAAGCTTGAGTGAGCTGTGCAACAGGAAAACTAAGCTGGAGGTGAGGAAAACCCCCCTCCAGGCTCCCAGCACTGCCCCTTCCTCCAGTGGCATAGTGGAGCCTTACTGGCTCTCTTGGATGAGATGGCATTTAGGGTGTTTCTTTGCCTGGTAAGGCAGGGAGAAAGAACCTCTGGAGGAGAAGCCCCTTCTGCGTCAGTCTCCAAGGAAACCCTTGGTGTTGCGTGGCTCAGCCTTCTTTGCACGCCTGGAGTTTTGGCAGTGGCTCACACATCCCAGACTTGTGCCTGAATCATACATCCATGCTTTCATCTGCCAGTGGCATTTCATAAGTGCAAAATTTAGGCAAATTGTGGGGTTTTCCTGCCCCTTTGAGATACCACTTTATCTCAAAGATACTCACAGTTGGACTGGTGTGCAGGAGAAGAGATGTCCTCCCACAGGCTCGAGAGAAACTAGCCCTATCTCTGTTTTGAATGCATATTCCTCACCATTGAGTCTGAAAGGAGAAGCCTCCTAATGCTCCCAGATTCTTGAGAGCAAGCCTGGGAGCTGTGGTGGTTATGGGGAAGCTTGGGCAGCAGGTGCTTCCAGGTCTGCTGCCACCAGCCTGGTTGCAGTGCCTGAACCAGAGCAGGTCACACTGAGCTGCTGGGGAAGAGGAGCTGTCTCTGTCCACTGCCCGGTGACAAGTGGGAGGAGGAGAGGAGAGCAAGTCACTACCCCACAAGTTTCCAACCCCCCTCCAGGTTAGGGCTGGACACCCACCCGGGCAGTTTCACTGCTCAACCCCCATTTGTGCTGAAATACCCAGCCCTCTCATCTCAGTTTTGATCCAAAGAAATCATCTCATCTCGATTAACTAAAAGCAATTACAATTAAGGCTTGCTTCTCTCGGGTTTGCTCACGCTCATCACCACTGCCTGTCATGGAGCTGGACCAGATCTCCAGCCCGTGCCCAGGAGCTTTGAGCAGCCTCAGCTGATGGAAGGGAAAAGCACGGATTCAGTGACCTTTGCTTGCGTAACTGCTGCCCACAGTCCCTGTCTGACATTTGAGGACTGGCCGTGAGTGCTGGAGGGGGTGCATGGTGATGGGGTGCTGGGCAAGGCAGGTGAACCTCATCCTTGCTGGCAGAGTGCCAGGCTGAGCCCTGACCCTTCCTTTCTCTTTGTGGAAGTCACAGTGGACTCTCACGGCGGTGTCTCACCAGGAACCAAGGACAAGAAACGTTCCCCCAGCTCTTTGCTGGCAAGGCAGAGGGATTGACCACAGTTTGTCTATTGCCAGGGCTGTTTTGCTGCCCACAGCAATGGAGCCAGAGCAGAGTGGAGTGTGTTTGGCTCTGTGGAATGTTGTGTCACTCACTGCAGGTGCCATGGGACTGAGCAAGAGGGAGCTCACAGGCTGGAGCTGGGAGGGGACCCTGTCGTCCCAATGGAGATGCCGGCAGTCATGAGGTGGTGGCAAGATGCCACCAAACAGCCCAGGCCACACTGGCCTGCCAGGTCCCCAGTTTCAGCCTGGCTGCTCCTCAGCATCCCCCTGGCAGTGCCTGGGGTGGGGAAGGACGACTCCATCCCATCCCATCCCAGGCCTGCCTCCTCTGGCTTTTCCAAGCTGGTATTGATGCCTCCAGGCACTTCCTGCAGGACCACGGTGCCAGGTGCTGCAGATGCTGTTGAAGCTGCTGAGCATCCTGACCTTCACACTGGTGAGTTGTCCAGCTTTGCAGCCAGTACAGCTGAAGGGGTATCTTTCTCCCTGAACCTTGGAGACTCTTTATGCCAAGGATCCTCAGTGTTGCCAACCCCCAAAGCTCAACAGCCAGAAGCGTGAGCTCAGAATAAGCCCTCAAGTTTCCTTTAATAAAGGAAATTTCAGGGGAGGATAAGGAAGGGTAATTCTTTGTATTTTGCATTCTGAGCCATTTGTGCTTGTTTTACCTCCCGTGGTACTTTATCTGTTGCACTTGTGCTGGCTGGAAGCTCCCTTTTATTTTGTTTTGTTTGCATTTAATGTGAAAACTGAGCTTTTTGGGGCAAGAAGCTGAAGCTTGGCCACAGGAACTGAGCCCTGGGCTGTGCCTGACTATGAAAGTCAGATGCCTTTGCTGGACATCTGGCTGCTTT